TATATATATATATATAGTTGAGAGGACAGACCTACTAAAAATCTACTAAAAATGATTAGTAAAATTGATGAATATGTCGTATGAATAATATGGTTAATAATAAAAAAAAAGTAATAGCTCCCTATATTTCATAATAAGGGTTTTATTTGGATATATAATTATATATATATATATATATATATATAATTAAAATAAAATATTATTTTATAAACTAAAATTAATTTATACATGAATTAAAAATATATATATTTTTTAAAAAAATTAATATAAAAAACCTCTACAAATTAACTTAAGCAAAAATTAATTTTAGTTTTTCTGCTAAAAATACTATTATGAAGAAATTTATTCAAATAAATGTCCAGATTAGCCACCTAAATATATTTAGCTAATTCTTTCCCCTTAGTTTGATTTGAATTGCATTAAACGTTTTAGAGATTTATTATTTTAAAAAATATATATGGGTTTAACTATTTTAAAGTTTTACATTTATTTTATAGAATATATAAAATAAATAAATTACAATTATTAATTAAAAATCAAGCACTAAAATGTAAATAAATACATAGTTTATTGTTTATGTACATATACATCACAGCTCAATTATAAAAATAAGTCTTATTAGAGAGAAAAAGAAAATAAAGGTAAAAGTAAAAAAACAAAAACAAAAAAATTAAAGATAGGTGGTTAGAGATGAATAGAGTAATGAAAGTAAAAGAGCGATTTTATTTTAAATAAGAAATAAATTAAAAGAGTATTTAAAGAAAATTTCAAAATAAATAGAGAAATAAAGTGTATCTATTAAAAATGGAATGGAAGGTGTATATAATATTTGTATTATTTACTAATTTAAATATATTAATTGGTAATTTCATTTTATACTATTCATTTATTGTGAAAGAATCTTTTACTCATTTTTCTTATGAAAGTAAATGCATTTATTGAACAAATAACATTATAAGTTATATTTACTGGTTGAAAAATTTATTTCTTGACCTTTGAGTAGTTCCATTATATATAACTACCATCTATGTTATTTAATTATATGTATATTTTTGGAATTCTTTTTATGAGTAGGAATTTCGAAAAATGTAAGAAACAAAAATTATAACCTTAATGTAAAATCTTTAAAACATCAAATAAAAATATAGAAGTTATTTGAAGTAAACAATGATTTAAATGTTAGAAATAAATATTTTTAAAATAAAATTTCAAATTATGACATTATTAATTATATTTAACTAATTTAAATGTTGTAACTGCATATTATCAACATAAAACTTTAACTTCAATTTTCTACCAAAAAAAAACTTTAACTTCAA